TCAACTACTTGATAAGCATTCATCCTATCAGTTTAAAGACAAGGGTAGACATGGGCCAGATTCATAATGCATCACATTGAGACCATGCCACCTGCAGTGCTTATGTTTCAAGTCTGCTGTCAAGAAAAAACAACTTTTACAGCTCCACAACTACATGTTCTATGTTGCTGCCAGATGGAGTATTTTATGGACTCCAAGACTACAGTATCACTCTGATCAGCTAGCATTTCAAGGTCAATTTCTATGATAGGGCTTCACTCCTGCTTCACAAATGCCCCAGACAATTTAAGCCATAAGTCAGCCATCTGTGCTACAGAACTGCTCTTTCATAAACTGTTTGTCCTTGCTCGCAGCAAAATGTATTTTCAACTAATACATGTCAAGACCTCTCAGTGATCACAGTAGCCTGAAACTTTACCACACTGAGAAAATTCCAAAATAGTTATATAAATGTACCACATCAGTCTTTGTGTTGTACACATTCCTCTCTAGACTTTCCAGGGCCATCCATCTAACAGGCAGCTTAGCTGTCTTGTCCTTGGCACTGTAGTAATCCCTCTCATAAATGTCTCGTGACAGGCCAAAATCGGCAATCTTCACTCGCAGGTTGTCATCCAGCATACAGTTCCTGGATGCCAGGTCACGGTGGATAAATTTTTGGCTGGCTAGGTAGGCCATTCCTTCTGCAACTTGTCGGCAGAACTCCAACAAGTCTCTGGCTGTAAGCTCCTGCAATTATTTATGGGAAGGAGTCTGAATCACTGTGGTCAATCACGATAACTTTCATGCCAAAAAATGCCAGAAGAGTTACCACACTTGTTGCTTATTAAAGTGTTTATAATGTGCACTGACGTTGTGTGGACTGTTTTTGACCTACTTGCATGTGATGAACTATGAGAGTGTGGTCCATCATACACATGTACGTGTGGTTGCACCGTTACTGTGGTGACAGCAGTCACTTCACTGTACCATGAAGTGTTATTTGACAAATTCTCAGCTTTGCACAGCTGAGGAGGAGGCACAAACTTGAAGGGAAATTTGCTAACCACCAGCATTACTTAAAGCTGTAAAAAAAAGGTATTTTGAAGGGCCATAATTGGTCTGCAGATCGACCTCGCCTATGCATTATCCAGGCACTTGGAAATGTCCTGTGGTCCATGGATATTTGCTAGACAAATAACATGAGTTGAGCTTTGAATGTTAAATACTGAATAGCATTTTTCTTGATTTTTCTCGAAGCAGTGAATCAAAAAATGAAATGGAATGATACACATAGTAAAAAACCACCCCCCAATTAGCCAGTTTTGAAAAATACCTATAATGCTAATTCATTTGACATTTTTGTTTTGAACCTTCCTTATAGTTTCCAATTCCTTTACTTGGTAAAAAACCAATGGCATACATGTTATCTTTGTATTTCTACTTCTACGGCGTATCAGTAATCCTGCCCAATCTCCTGATGAATTTAGGGCTGATGATTTGTCAAGGGCTATTTTGGGCCAGCCATACATTTTGGGAATAGAGCAATGAAAATGGTTCTTGTATGGTGAATGTTTAAATGCCACTTTAAGTCACTATTTACTTAATCAAATAAAAGTTGAAAGAAAAATAAAGAAATAGAAAAGTCTCACATTTTTGGGGTCCCGTATGTACGTGAGCACATCACCGTGTTTCATGAATGGAAGCACAACCAGCGGCATGTTGTTACTGTTGATACAGACTCCAATCAACTCCAAGACATGAGGATGCTTAAAGTCTTTCATCATGATGCCCTCCCGTAAGAAGTTAATGATCTCCTCCTTCCCTCCTCGGAGGAGGGACTTGATGGCCACAGCGAAGGATGTACCATCCTGCCAGATCCGGCCCTGGTAAACACAGCCAAAATGACCTTTGGGAACAGAAACATGTGCTTTTAATTTATCAGGCTGATTTGGAAATTAAGCAAGTGAACATTGTGAGCCAAAGTGGAATTGAAACATATAATACAGACAGTTAAGGTTTGGAGATCTTGGTCTAAGAGTTATGATAGCTTACTCAAGTGCCACAGATCAACTGGATAGCTCGCAAGGCACTGTTGTACACAAATGAAGCCACCAGGGCTCAATTTTAGGGGCCCTAAGAGGTAGCTGCCACCTATTTCAGCCTAACACAACACACTAACCATGTTTGTAATTTTCCAGGTTTTGAGTAGAATTGATTGATAACAAAGACTTCAATGAAGTCTTCACTGGCTACAGATACCGATACAGATAAATTCCTATTTGAATACACTTGCCATAATATAAAAAAAATAACTTAGTCCACACAAAATCATCTGTTTGTCATGATACCATTTGACAGCACATTTGACTAAGATCTCAAATCTTTCAATCTGACCTTGACATGTTTTGGGCCCCCAAACTGGGCTTCTACTGACATCAAGCCCTTGTTTTCAATACACTCTCCAGTCAACGCAGAGATCAGTGATTTGTTCTAACCCTGACAGGTTTTATCCTGCTTATGTGGTCCTTGGGCTAGGTTAGCTAGCTGCCAATCTCCATCTAGGAATTGAGATCAGTAATTGTGATGGTGGTGACCAATTTCCATTGATTTAAAGCTGCCGTACACGAACTAACTCTATGGCCTGATGAATAGCTAAGGGCACTGACTGTGAAGAACTTCGTTGTATAAATTATTATAGAACCACTGTACCATTTTAATCGTTATAGAAAAACTTGCATGAGGATTGACAACAGAAGCTCTGGATGCCCCAAGTAAGCCAGCCAGTACTTTTTATTTCATTTCCATCAAGATCTTGAACAAGTTTACGTTGATGGTAAATTCCTGTTTCCGTGGTATTCACGATATTGGCCAATAATTATTGGCCTATAATTGATGACAACCCATACCATATCAAATTTTAATTATTCCACCACACTTTTAATACTTTATCATAGCACAGCACAGTAACCAGGCCGCGATGATTTTTTTTTAGTTTCCCAATCAGGCAGGCCATGCCATAAATTTGCTTGCCTGAATTAGATCAACACTTGCCAAAGATTTCTCGGAATCCATGATTATTATGATTATTTAAATTAGGCCTACTGCATGCATGCAGTCTTTTCTTAGGCCTGCCAAAATAGTTGTGCTTCCAATTACATGCCTCTTAAAAATAGGGTCGGTAGGTTGGAAATTTTAAGGGGGGGTCAATTTTTTTTTCCTGATTGAATGGCATGAATGGGGACGGCAGCTTCCAAAATTATCTCAAAAAGTGATGAACACCTGTCTTAATCTATGTAAAAATTTCTACCGGCGACAATTCACAAGAATTATGGGCAATCCACACAGTGTGACACAAGCAATCACGACGGCAAACTGACCAACAATGTATCGCGTGGTAAGCGTGCGTGAGGCATCCAGACCAGTGGGCGAAGAACCTTGTGTCGCAGCACTGAACACTTTTAATAGCGGAGCTGCACTAAAAAACTACTGTATGGTTTTTACGTTTCAGCAGTATGAGCAAAATTACAAGTGCGGGCAGAACCCCTCCATGGGTTAGCGGATTTTCACTACCTCCGATGGCTCTACATCAGGCTGTTAAAATAAGGAGCCAACAAGGGACCTTTACATTCCTTACAACACTGATGGCCAGAAAGTATGGCAGGAAAATACATGTACACTGTGATATTCTAACCTTGACCAACAATATCTCCTTGTTTGAGGTTATCTTCATTGACAAGAACTTCACTGATCTGCATGGCTAGATCCTTGTTAATTGTCTCCAGCAGTGGTCTGTTTTCATCAGGGATGCCAGCAAATGCAGACTCTGATGAAGACGTTGGTGTCCTCATATAATCTATTTTATTGGTTAAAAGTCAATAACAAACAAAGAATACGTGTATTTGATGCATTACAAAGTTTGAGATGTATTGAATATCAACTGGTACAAGGTTTGAGACAACTTTTTTTTGTTTAATGTGTAGTCCTAAAATGAACTTATGAACTGCAAGAACATTTGCTCAGTTTGTCTTTAGATGGAAAGGCTCCTTACTATTCCAACTCCATTCACACCAGTTCTTTATTTTATTTGATATAATTCTTAGTGTGCCACTAGATTAATGCAGTCTTGAATTCACAGAATGTGCTTTAACCACTTCCTGCCAGGCGACCCATTTTCAAGTACAAAGGCTTTATATGCAGAACTGGGACAAAAGAGTTCGGCCCTTATAACAAAAGACCATGCTCAGCACAAAAGACTGAGCTGCTGGGCATTACCGACATTTTTTTGCTCTCAATAGTGGAGATAATCCAGCCTTGTTTTGAAACAGTATAACACGGTTTGAGGCATTTAGAGTGAGTGGATTACCACCGGGGACAAAAGCTCTCCACCACCGCAGAGATAAGTCACACAGCACCGCTGCACGCTAATCTGGCCCCTATTGAAAAGAGGTCAGCAGTGCACTGTGCCAGTTTCGGGAACAAAAGAATCTTATGCAACACTGCAAAATCTGGGCTTTTTTCCAAGGCTGAAGGACTGGCTGAAATATTCAGGACTTAATGAAGGTTACCCATCAGCTTTAGAGTAGTCCCAAAAAGTCCTTCATGAGGGTATAAATGGCCATTAAATGAAATGATAAATTTTTCAAGAATTTTGAAAACAAAAAATCTTGAAAAGGACCGGGCATCTTGTCTTGCTCAAGAAAAATCCACCTGGCAGCAAGTGGTTAAAAGGTTCCCAGTGAAAAAATCTACATACGGGATGAAAGGTTTTAATTCCCCTTAATTTTTAAGGGCAACTTGATCATCTCTTCTTAGACATATTTCTGTACTTAAAATATCTGTTTGATAAATGAAAGTACTCTTTTCTGAGACAAATTGTAAATTTAAAGCTATGGTACAATGGCAAACAGGTTTTATTACAGAAGATTCAAAGAACTAAAATGGTGACATCAAAACTATTCTCAAGTTTGTTGGCAAACAGTAAATGTTGGTCTGTTACCCTCCTGGAAAAGCAACCCCTGTGAAATCAAATATGTGACATGAAATGAAAACTCAAACTGTTTAACAAATGAAGCAGAATGAAAACTTAAAATTTATATTCAAGTAATTCAGAATGCTTGGAAGCGAAGGAGCACTGATCTGGTCTAAAATGTCCTTTTTTGGAACACAGCATGACCTGTGTAAGAATTATATGAATTCATCCTATTGCTGCAATGTTTCTCTCCAAAACCGACTGCTCTCAATTGAATCATCTTTCTTCACAGGCCAGTGTCCTTTAGGTTAGAGCCCCTGGTATTCCCCACAAACTGGGACACATGGAACACATGGAGATGACCATCAAGCACCTGTTGAAACCAAATTGGCAAGTTGTGTTGAAGTCCCAAAATTTGTTTCTTCTGGTAAAAGGAGATCATTTGTAGTTATCATGTCTCAGTACCTTATTCCAGACACCATGCTACACCACAGACCAAGCCATCGACTGATTTTATACTACACAAAGTTATCTCCTGAATGTTTTGAAAACGGAAGTCCTGTGTCAACATTTAGGTGAAAGGCCTTAGAACTCCAGCAATAGAAACAAACTATTCTCAAGTCACCTGAGGACACTAAGGTACATGTAAGTGTTAGTTTGCTTGCATAATGTGACAGTGTGGTAATGAGATGATGTAATATTAAGTGCTCCATGATAATTTACAGGCAAAGAATGTACACATAGCTTTGATAAAATGGGGGAAAAAAATCAATTCCAAATTACCAATGGACAAATGAAACCCAACTACTGAAGATTTTTTGTATTAATTTGGCGAAACTTGAGTACTGTTCTGACATTGCAAAATTCCACTAACATACTCTAGACTGGTACCGGTATGCACTCAAATGCTAAAAAGCTTGGCCAATGTAAGCTGTCTCCCTAAGAGCTAGGATATGATGAGAGCCCTAGGTATCAAAAAAGGGGGAACAAGACAAAGCTCAAACAGCAACCATGGCCCAGCTAGCTCAGTCTCAGTTACCAACAGTAGTAAAACAAACTATCATGTTATTAAACATGGAGCCAACTCAGTAAAACTATTGCCAACATAATAAAATGCTAAAGCCAAACCTTGTTAGATGCTGATGCCTTTGTCCATGCAAGGAGTGAAAGAGAAAAGAGACACTCACTGTTCAAACGAGAGAAAGCTGGTACAACCCTAGCCTCAGCTGACTCACCACCTGTACTGCTGGTCTGGCGGAATATCACACTAGGTGTAACAACCCCCGTAGCCAAGTCTGTCCCTTCTTCCTTGGACTGTTTGCGAACGTGCCACACAACAACAGAGACAATGATGCAGACGACAATTAAGACAACTATGACAATGGCATACCACGGGAAAGGTCGTGGGTCAATCTTCATGTAGCCTATCATGCTGGTAGTGGACGCTGCACGAACCTGAAAAGGGACATCATGTGTGAGGTTTTAATGCAGGAAGCAATTAAAACTATGCAAGGGATCTAAGTATCACAGCATATCTCATTATCATCATTTGGAATATCTGCTTTATGTTCCAAAATTGATAACTTTTTATTGAAAAACACCTACATGTACAATTATAATCCAATATGTGACAAGCTTTGTCACAGGAACTTGTGCCTATTTGAGGTTTCTCCTGACACAGGGTAACTTCTGCTTACTTTATTCAAGCAAGAGACATGTATTAGACACACTTCAAAGGGTCCTGCCCAACAAGTACATTGCTCACAGGATCTCTAAAACATCTGCTTAAAGAATAATATTATTGATGATATACAGGCCAAATGTTGGCACCTTGTGGTCATAACTTTGGAAAGTTGCTGACACCTTATAGATCATTAATTTTTTTATTACAATCATTTTTGACAGTCAAAGAGGCATTTTATTGAAGACTGTATGACAGTTTTTCCCTACGATTGTCTAAATATGTACAAACATGTTCATGTACATGTGCATACTGCTGTACTGTTTGTATAGTGTAATTATTTGCCGGACTTTGTGTTACTTTGGACATACACCCTAATTGTGCAATTTCTGTATGTAGAACTACTAGTATAAAGGAGGTTGCAACCAGGGACTTAACATGTTCGTTTACATGGTATTTGGTGTGTTTTTTTACTGTGCTGTATTTTATGATTGGCTGGTAGTGTCATGATTGTAGGTGACTTCACCAGTGAACTACATACATTCAAAATTACTGATTCTAAATGTGCACTGACCACTTTCTGTGTGTGAGTTTAAAAATTACTGCATATTCAGTTATTTTCTGGATTTTAGTTACATTTAAATTTTGGGTATGAAATAAAAATATATGCTTTCTTACTTGGATGGACCAGCAAACCCAACAAAATTTTTAGATCTGTTTCTGGTCTAGCTGTTACCATTTGCATGCTGTCAAATTCTCTGGTATTCAAGCATTTTGTGGCATGTGGAACGGATAGTTTGTAAAAATGGAACCGGTAGGACTGTCAGCTTGTATTTCAGGAAAATATTGGACACAAAAGGGCCTTCCAAATTGCACTATTTAGCAATGGAGTGTGGGCATAAATTTTCAAAATGGTGATGGACTGTTTTTTCGGGTTATCATTTGTCAGAATTCCCCTGAACCACTTCGGTCATTAGATGCGCAAATACTTGCAGTACTTCATACATATTCATTCATTAGAAATTTTTCTTTTCCAGTTCACTTCCCAGAGCCATGGATTTCTTTGCCCACGTTTTAATGACTTGCTGTTTTGTTTGACAATACAGGCCAGGAAGCCGCCCGCAGGATCCCTCTTCTATTGTGGAAATGCATACCTAAGCTAAGGTGCAAATTCCAATGCACCCAATTTCTTTGTGTGAATGTTCACCAGGGTTTCATGAATGTATTGAGTGTGATGCAGTGTCAATTGTTTTGCACGAGAATGAGATGTGTGCCCAATTTAACAGCTAGTTTGGGTGTGCCAGTGGAGAGCATTTTTGATGATTGTCGTGATGACATGTAGCTTGTGGATTGCCAGCGTCGCGCACATAGTAAGCCTGTTTGCTGCCCCAGAAGCAGACATTTACAGAACTGCTTAAGGCAATTTGGTGAAGCAAATCTAAGAACAGGCTAGATCAGCAATCCAGGATTTGAAACAGTGAGAAAACCATGGCCAAATTGTATCACCAAGCACAAAGAACCTGACCCTTGACGAGGGTGAAGCCTGGTTTGGAGACCACTGGGGTGGATGTCGCCAACGCCTTGCCCTGAACTTGTGTTCAAGGCAAGATTACGGTGTAAAGTGGAACCACTGATGTAGTTATACCTAGGTGACAAACCACATTTTACAAGATCTCTCTGATATTTGGGTAAAGCAGTAAATTGAGGTCTAAACAAGCAAATATTTTTAATTTAATTCTAATTGTAAGGTGGTAATCCATTGTATATATATAGGTTTATTATGATCTAAATATTGTAAATATCTGAAGCTGGAAATAAAACTGTCTGCACAGAATTTGTAAAAGAACTGTCCTTTAGTAATTATTTGAGATTACAATCTACTCCTTATCTTTCTGGTTACAGTGCCAGGTTTGTAGTGGTAACTGTGACATTACTCATAGACAGAAATATCTTCAAGTCACAAGTTGAAGGAAGACTGTCTTTATCGGGCCAAAATTGTAAAATGTACTCAGATTGTCACTGAAGGATTAGTTGAGCATCAATAAAGAACAAAAAGAAAAATATGAAGCACAGTATTTTTGTCTAGACAGTTTTTATGAGGCAGAACTGATTTTGTGGACACGGCCATTAACGAGTGGTCACGTGGTCAGAATCTAGATGGTGACATCTTAAGTGCTCCAAGGGGGCGCTCGCACCGTGTCAGCTGACAGAAATTCTGCAACGATTATCCACGATTTCTACAGACCTTTTTTGCCTTCTCATTTGCAATGCCATATTGTATAGCTAAGTACTGTTTTGTGTCAGACAAGCAATCCCCAAGATGCACACTGACATACATTGCCAGAAAAACTGCTTTTACGGTGGCAATGGTTGGCAAAGTGCTGCCATCTCCAGGGAAAAGACCATCAAGTGAGGGTCTGCAGTGAACAGTTAACTTGTGATGACTATGAGAATATCCAGCAATACGAAATGGGGCTAGCAAGATGACTAAGATTAAAGCCCGATACGCTGTTGAGTGTGTTCTAAAATGATACTGAGGATTTCCCTTCCCACACTTGTGGGCCTGATTATGCACTTGCTGGTACCCAGTCGTTGCATCAGCCCATGAGCACTTGTGACGTCACCATCGAGATTCTGATCAAGTGACCACTCGTTAATGGCTGCATCCACAAAATCAGTTCCGCCTCATAAAAAATGTCTAAAAAATAGTGTAATTCATATTTTCCTTTTTTGTTCTTCATTCATGCTTAACTAATCCTGTAGCAATAATCTAAGTACATTTTGCAATTTGAGCCCGATAAAGACAGTCTTCCTTAAACCTACTAAAAATTGGCAGGAAAATGATATCTGAAAAAAAAGATTACGCTTCATGTGTCTCAAATAAACACACAGGAAACTTCTAATTTTTTCTGATTTTAAGTAAGAGTATTAATTTCTGTTGTCTATGGCAACTTATTTAATGGTCGATCTGCATCTTTATGACACGATACTAGTGTTAAAATATCCCATTATAACTTGTATACACATAAAGCATAGAATTCCATGGTTAGCACAGTGGAGTCTGGATGGGGTGAGCAACTAAACCAGGGTCGGGACAAGCAAACTCACACATTGGACAAGTAAGGTTGAGGTCTGCGCAAAACTGTCCAAGAAAATCAGTGCAGATTTTTGGTGCCAAGTGGTATGTATGTTATCATCTTTCATTGTTATTTTGAAATTTAACAAGGTATTAAAGTTCAAAATGTTGTTTCAAGTACTGGATTTTAGTGTTAAGCATCTGAATAATGAGCCAATGGTTCATACCTCAACCTTGTACCCTGGGGAATCTTCCACAGCTCCACTCATATCTGGAATCTCACAAGTAAGTTCATCAGCTTTGAGGTCAGTAACCTTACACTCTCTACCACCGACTGTCACCTTGATGTCTGATGCTTCTAAGGCCAGATTCAAGTCTGTGCCCTTTAAAGGAGAGATGATTTAGAATAATGAGTGCTCATATAGAAACTCACACTCAAATTCTCAAAACTCAGTTTTGACAAAAAACTGGTTTTAACAATACTACAGTACATGTACTTACATTTTCACACCAAATCTACTAGTGTTGACTATATCAGGTACCAGAAAATAATTTCACAAGTTTTGCTAAGCAAAATTTAACAATGTATTAATGTGGCCTGGCACGACAATATGAGCGTAAAGTCACATTCCACTCTTTCCTATTTTGATGGTTCAAAGTCAAATACTGAAGTGGAGTTCAATTTCGTAAATTTGGAAAGATTAACCTGTCTCCTATTTAATTCCGAACACTGCAGGATCATGTATTACAAAATGTCATTTTCTCAGCAATTCTAATGGTAGCATTATTCATGCATGGTCAGAAATATTAAAACAGTGTCGGAAACAAAGACGTCAAGCCATCAGAATAATCTTATATTGTTTCTATATCCTTTTACCCTAAGTGTTCCATGTACATACCTTTGGAAAGCTCTTTTTCTGCTGAATTAAAAAAATACTGGTACCAATCTCAACTTTTTAAATTATGACTTTCAGCTCATTTTGTGGTGAGGGGCCACAAAAAGCAAATCTATAAGAAACCAATCACAAGCAATACAAATCACATGACATTTGGCTAATAACCTATTTTTGCTTAGCACATACTTCACATATTTCTGTGCATAGCTACTCAGACAAATTTATTTGGTGCTGGTGTTGTGACAAGATTTGAGCTTAGCTTTTACGTACTTACGTACTCATGTCCCAGCACTTCTGACCAATTCTTACAGAAAATAAGACTTGCACAAAACAGTATACAGATGCTTGTTTAAAATGTGGACAATTGAGGAAGTCTGTTGATTTGTAGCTAAATGAACATACTAAAACTTATGAAAATATCTGTCCCTGAAGATGTACGCACACAGGCTCACATTAAAATATTTGTATTACTCATCACTTACCATGATGGTAAGAGTAGAACTGCCTTCCTTAACCACAATGACGTTATTATCCCCAGAGAAGGGGTCAAACACAGGGTTAGGGTAGAAGAGGAATTCAGATGTATCACTTCCAGTTGCTGATAACTCTGTTGGCCTACCATCAAGGAAGAATACAATCTCTGCCGTAATTGGCTCTATGGATGTTATCCCTGATGCTGACTGGCTTATATTAGGTGAGAGACATTGTAAGTACTCTTCAGAGATGGAACATTCCTGTATTGCCAAAAAAAAAAATTATGGAAATGCAACATGTCCACATATACGAGACGAGCATTAGGCCCGTTGAAAATTCGGAAAGGTGATGAAACCAGCACCACAGCCGTTGAAACCGGTCACAGATGCAGCAGCCAGTCAAATGAATCTGCCACAAAAAGCATGGCCCCTAGAGTCATCAGCCCAACACTGCTGGTAGATACAGCCATCCTCAGCACGGCACCCTGGCCCAGTAAATCTGCATGGCTCCCATCTTGGGTGTCGAAATCCCCATGACCTCCACCGTAGGTTCAAAATACAATGCTGTTGTCACACCCTTTCCGTAGTAATAACCTCCTTATATGAAGTTACTAACAATAAGGAAAACATTCCTGGATCGCCACTCGGGCACGTCAAGCATGTCCATTCTTAACTAAAGGGGTGAATAATTAACACTGAATTAGTAACACTACACACTGTACACGCCCATCATCTGGTAGGTACATGTACACGCTTACATTTGCTACCTACTTTAGTTTGACTAGATGTCATTCAGTAGAATTGAAGTCGAGTCTGAGAACTTCCAATGTTGCAAGGCTTTGCCCATCTAAAGCACAATTTGAGTGAAACAGTGTTTTGTTTGGTGAGGCCACTGGAATAGGCAGGAACTGTAGCTGATATTTAGTTTTTGACAGCCATGGAATTTTGTTTTTGTGTTTTTTTTAATCCCAACAAATTGTAGCTGTCCATGTTGCCACACAACTTAAACAAGCAAACCCATGCAAAAGATCTGGTCAAGAATGCTAACGCATTAACAAGTCTGTCTGATCATGTACAGACATAGGTAATTTGCGCAAAATCTACTTCAATTACACTTAATTCCCACTTGAATATACGGACTGAATTTTTGTTGTATTTACACTTCCTTTGGTCATTTTGTCCGAGAATGGTCAAGGCACAACCATATTTTGTTGCAAATTTAGGCCTGTGAACAGTGGTTGGAAAATGCCACAAGTGAATGAAAGTTTCACTTTCTGTTCATATATACACATGTACTACAAGTACTAGTGTTAACTCAGCACAGAAAGATCTCAAAAGGTGAAAAAGGCTTTAAACTTTTCATATTTTTCAGGATGCAGCATTATGAAACCTATCAAAGTATAAACAATGCACCCACACATTATCTTTTATGTCCTGCTTTAATGCTCCTTCCAGTTTTCCATGTTATCACGTCAGAACATTCCTTTCCCACATTAAGTGTGGGTCAGGTTTACTAGAGAATACTTACCCAAACAGTCACTACATATTCAAATTTCCCATGTGCATATTATTCATTCGCTGAAAAGATTTGATCGCCCATGATGCAAACTGACCTCCCACAATGCAGCGCGGACTCGCCGCCATGATCATCCTACTTTTTGAAAACGACTCAAAAAGTTCGGAGCCAGAGTGGGGAGGACAGGCAGGAGAGGACTGTTTGGGTAGGTATTCTCTAGTAGACCCGACCCACACTTAATGTGGGGAAGGAGTCTACGGCGCTCTACCTACCCAAACAGTCACTCCACATGCAGAGCAGCACCGGTCTAGGTGGGGGGTTGGCAACAACACATCTAATGCCGAGAATACAATTTTACATTATATACAAGGAGGAATGTAAAATTTTAAGAAACGGTACAGGAACTTCATAATGACTTGTCGTCCGCCCTACAGGAGGTCCCTCTGACCTCTGCAGATAGTAGGACTGTCCTGCTATTTGTGATGTCGCTCTGCAGGACATCCCTCAAGTTGCAGGAAATAGAAGGAGATTTCCAACATGCAGTTTTGCAGATGTTTGCAATGGAAACATCTCCAGAGTAAGACCAAGATGTAGATCCTGCTCTTAAGTTATGAACCCTGATGTAATAATGACTATGTTCATCAGAGCTTAACGACCAGCTTGCACACGCTTACATTGCGCACTAACTGCAGGCTTGCTGCAGCCCTGCTAGGTGTTCATGCTTAGTACACAAGTGCACTTGACATGCCCTGAAGCTTGTAGCTCCACCATTGCTTGGTGGCTTGTTTTCCGTTGCCCTCTCCCTTCTACAAAACAAATACAAAAAAAACACAAGAAAATTTTCCACGAGAAGCCACTCGTGTAATAATGGGCCAAAGATAACAATTGAAAAATAGTTTTTAACAAAGAAGGGCAAATTGAACCAAGTGGAAAATTTACTATTGCTCAGAATGTTCTGTTCTCGTTTTAAGTCCAAAAGGATCTTAAAACTGGAGTATCATGCTCTGAACGGGCTGAATAACCCCAAAAAGTGCTTTTGGCCCATAAAACTTGGAAATCTACATGAAAGGTCTTCCAGTATATGGTGGAGGGTGGTGTTGCGACATCATGCGTCAAGGTTGGTGACATTTCATGCATCTGTACTTAGTTTAAGTCCAAAAAGGTAAAATTTAACATTGTGCTCTGCAACGTAAAATCTTGTATAATCACGTTTTTTGTTCTATTTTCTAGAGATTTCCAATGAAATGTGTAAATAATATTTTTAATTATTTCTCACCTACACTTTGCTTGTCAATAAAATGAGTTGAATAAACTTCCTTAATTAGTTCATTTTAAGAGCAATTGACACAAAACACAATGGGCAAGGGACGTGGGCAGAATGAGGCAGGACATATTTATGTTGCTTTATTAGATCAAAGAGAGCAATAAATACTATCTCTTTTTGGAATTTGTGTTGCTCTGAAAAGAGCCTTTACGTTTTTTCTTGAAGAACTGTTGTGTTTCAGTTGACCGTTGCGTACATTTTATGAACAAGCCTGATGTGACTTTCCCTGTCAGCTGCACTGTTGAACACCTTCTGACATCCGGACTTCCAGACTTGATCTCCCTTGAGCGTAGGCCTACTAATGAGGTTGTTGTCGAGTGGTTGGTCCTCCAGCTTTCTAGACAGGGCCTGTGATGCTAGCTCATTCCATGTCTGAAAATGACTTGGGTGGTGGTCAGATTGTCCCAGTGTAAAAATATAGCATCCGCCAAATTTACATAGAAAAGTCATTAGCCTCTTAGCGTGGATTTGACTTTCCATGCAGTGTGTGCACAGCTGGTCTTCACACTTGATGAACTGGAGCGTGAATGTCCATTGAACAGAGTGTTTCGCCAGAAATCTGTATTCTTCCGAAAGTTCACACAAGGCCAAATTTTCTTTGATTTTAGATGAACTTGTATCACTGAGTTCTTCGACGAGGGATTCCTCTTGGTAGATATGTTTTGAGTTTGAGTTGATCGCTACTGGAACGACTGGAAAGGAATCAAAGGTCCTTCCGTGAAGACAGCGACGCACTTCTTTGATTGCTAGCTGAGAGATGTCGTTCAAAGAAAGCACCATGTTGACCATGAAGACCTTGGCAACATGCTCTGTCTCACTCTCTTAACGCGAGAGGATTAAGCCAATTAAAGAGACCCCATCGTGTTGTTCATCAGCAGTTGGCTCCTACTAGAAAGCAGAGACACAAAGAATCTCCAGGCAGTAGGGCCCTTAAGCGCAGGTTCGGCCAGTAACCCGGCCGGTAGAAGGGGGATTAAAAGCTATTGGCCAGAAAGGGGCTGGCCTGTAGAGAAACTAGTCTGTAGAGAAACCGGCCAGCAGTGGACGTCACGGCTAAGTGATGGGGTCAATATCGTCCCTTCATGCTATCCTTTTAGTCAGGTACCACTTCAGGACATGAACAGGTCCCCAAAGTTTATCCGCATCATCTCCAGGACGTAAGGAGGCGGAGAGTGTAAAGATATCAGACGGATCAGGTGAGGGAGTCTGATCCTTCGTCAGGAAGCCAATGAAGGAATTGAAGGAATGAGGTAAACACCATGCAGCTCCAAAAATAGACGGCCTTCGGCAATGGGGAGAGCCTACAGTTTGCTGCCTCCTCAGGAAGTAACCATTTTTCAGGAGAAAAGCCAACCTGACATGGGTGTGTGTAAAGCAGGCATTATTTAGGGTTCAAAGAAAGGACTGAACAGCATCTAAAGAGCCTAGCTTAGGTCTTATGACCAGACCAATTTCTCAACAAGGGGACACTAGATAAGCATATCATACAAAAGGTGATGGAATGTCATATTGTTAAGGGCAATTAACCGATTTTGAAACCAATGTGTATGTCAGTCCTAGCTGTAGATACAGTCAAACCTTGTTAATAAGAGCGCTGTTAATACAAGATTCTGTTATAGCACACACAAAAGCATTAGCTGGAGCCAAAGCCTGACTATCAACATACATATCACAATGCTAAAATCTGCTGTCACAAATTTGAAAGGTGGGCAGATAACATCCCATGCGACCATGGCTGTAGCATTGCTAGAAAGTCCTGCCGAAAAGGAAGATCGTAGGAAGTTGATCGCTGTTCAAGGAAGCGAAGAGATAGACGCAAGGCTGTTCTATCATCCCAGGGAGAGTGTGTCCGCCACTGCGTCACTGGACCCTGCCATGCGGATCATCTGCAGGTCAACTGCATGATCCCTTGTCCTTTCCATTAATTTGCCTTTGGTTGGCAGTGTGAAAAAAAAAGAGGCAAGAAAGCCGCAATACTCAAAGACGGAGATGACACTATCATTCAGAGTCTCTAGCATGACTGTAGTGATGTCTGGGTGGAAAGAAGATCTCCTTTCCTTTCAAAGGAATTTACCTCAGTAAGAAGGAAAGAAATGAAATAGGTCAGAGACCGACACAAAGACTTCATGTTTCGAAGATGTTCATGTCAAATTGAAGGTATGCCATGTTCCTTACCCAGCATGGCCGCCAGCGCCCCAACTGCGGCAGAAAACTTTGATCATTTTCACACATGCGTGGAAAATAAATGGCTGGCGTAGAGGAGTCAGTCGCATGACGTTTGCGATATGAATAATAGAATGAGCATCCATAGCAACTCACTCTGTGAAGAATACATGTTGACCTTGACTTGCTAGTAATCTCCACTCATGGAAAATCTCTACGGACAAAAAACAAAACAAAACCATTTCGATGTCCGAAGTCATGCTAAGCACTAACAAAGTATTCATTTCAGAAATGAATAGGGTCTGACAGAATTCTCTCTCTTTGTTTCGATCACACTGAACATTAATATCAGATGAGAAAACCTGCAAAACTATCACTACAAAACAAGTACACAGATTTTGGACACGCCCACTTGGAAGTGAGCACATGTTAGGACAGTGTGCATTGTGGCAGGGCCGCACGGCAGAATCGGTGCTCACATGGAACCATGTGTGAAGGGGCCAGGGGGGCCCAACAAATGGTCGTTCTGCTGATTACAGGGTTGTACATCGTGAGAAGCAGTGGAAATAGATTCACAACATTTCTCCCACAGGGCCCCTTGTGTAAAAATCAGAATGTTAGGATCGGATGTCTAGGGAGGCAGACTGGAGAGGCGCAGCGGTAGATCTCCGTCAAGATGACAAATTTACCATGACAGAACTGAAAAATTTAGGAAAACTGCCTGGAAAACGTTATTTGTTCATTCCTGTCTTGGTGCCTAGTAACACAATCTCAAATGCCGGTAGGTTTGGACTTGTAGCAGTCATTAGAGATCACCAGGTAAAGCGTAGACTCACTTCCCCGTGGCCTGGGCAGGCCTACCAATGGTAGCCAGAGTAGCTCCAGAAGGCTGTGACGGAGACTCGGGATTGGGTCCGTGTCCGATGGCGTATTCACCAGGGCAACGATCCAGGAAGTTGGCCCAGCAAGTACTACCGTGTGGATTATGTCTGGATGCTCACGACGTAGATATGTCAGAGGCTAGCTAGGTCGCATTTGGATGTAACAGCTGCCTGGAAAATGCTCATGTTCATTGAGGAGGCCACCCGAAGGGCTCTCACAATACATGTATAATCAGAGACAGACAGGACAAGCATTTATAATATTTATAATCTATAATACAAGGTCATATTTATGACAAAGAATTTCTTTTTTTTTAAATTCATTTATTTTCCATAACTGAAAACATAAGGAATTTGTTCCAAGGACCCCGTTATAACAGTGTTCCACTGTATTCAACAGAGTAGTTGTCTTCAAAATGTTTTGCTTGAAGGCCCTAGAAAAAGGGAAGGCGAAAAGGAGATGTCGTCCAGCCTTACAAGGGCAGCGGTCCGCTAAGGTGAAGAGCCTACTTCACGAATGGGAGACCCGTAGCAAGACGTGGAGCGGTCGGTTGACTTGCACGGGCGTGGTCGGTGTCTTCCTTCGGAAGGGAGGCTGACGGAGGATCTGGAATCTGGAATATGTCATAGGCGGTGAGGACATCCATAAAATCGGCGTCATCTTCAACCAAAGACACGGTGACTTTGCTTTGACTGAAGTAGGGCCATTCTTTAGTCAAGAGGCGGGGGTACCCGTAGATTAGCTGGTAGTTGAGCGGAGGACTGTCAGGCAGGAGCAGACTCAGATGCGTGCCAAGTTCAGGCTTGAGACTAGAATCAGGAGTTTTGGAAAAATTGGCCTGGAAGATTCCAGTAATGCTATGTCATTGCAACAATGCATGGCTGATGTTTTCCTCCGGTGAAGCGGCTAATGGCAGGCAGCAATCAGACGGAGTGAGGCGCTGATGGAACCAACTTTGTTCTTTTCAGAAGACAATGCTGGGTGCCCAGTTGGGGACAGGGTAGTGCCTCGTTCCGAGGGAGTACACTGGCTGGTGCAATTCCAGATTGGAACCCTGCCTGATGTTACAATGTCTCGCAACCGGAGAGGGGGAAGGGCCTGGTCCGCCAGAAACAAGTCCGTGGTGGTGGAGGCTGATGGCGGTCTAATGCCAAGGCGGCAAGCGATGGAGGTCGGAACTTCATTGATGGACTGGAAGGTCGACATTCAAGCCACAGGTCGAATAATTTGAGGAAGATGAGAAGCGCTTGGCTTTTCCGGTGGTGGGCGACACGACAGTAGAGGTAGCAGAGGAGATCGAGGGAGGTGAAACGCCTGGGGTGCATTACCTGTCGAGTTAAGTGGGAACTGCAGAATTACGGACAGAGGGACCAGAAGAGAAGAGGCTCGATGTCTAGTTGAAAGCCTGAGTCATGGATGGGCTGCGGTGGCTTGAAGCCCAGGCAGTGGGCGGCCTGGCAGCAGAGGTGGCAGATGGGGCCGCGAGAGGTGGAACGTCGGGGTACGTTCCTGGTTGAGGTCAACAGGAACTGCAGAATTCCAGGCAGAGGGACTAGGAGAAATGAGGTCCAATGACCCAGTGATGCTAACTAAAAGTCTGAGCCGCGAAGTGGTTGAAGCACCCGGTGGCAGGTGGCCCTGCGGCGGAGGTGGCAGCCAGGGCTGCGGAATGCCTGAGGAGCAGTCCCAGTTGAGGTCAACGGCGGCTGCAGAATTCCAGGCAGGAATGGTCCGATGACACGGTGATATCCAATTGAAAGCTGCAGCCGCGGATGGGTGGCTTGAAGACCCGGAGGCGTAAAAATCCTGTGAAACTCTGTGGGACCTGAAAGGGGGTCAGCAGGAGTCAGGGTGTCATGGCTCGATGGCGCACCAGGTGGGGCGGGCCATGGCACTTGCAGGGAGCCTGGCCTGGTGACTTCGGTATATGGGCGAAAGGGAGTATGCCTGGGGTTTTGCCGGAGAAGTACTGTTCTAGGCCGATGTCGAACGGCGGGTAGTACTCTTTGGTGTAGCCGGGGAACGCTGGCTGGCACGCTACATGGATTCCTCTGGGCCATGTCGGGCGAAAGGTGTGACATACCTCACGATGATGGCAAGACAGGCCCCGGAAACATCTGATGGGGTACTCTCCGGGAGTCCTTGCTAGCTTGCCAGGCTAGCAATTGACCAAGGAGACAGGGTGCTTGCCAGATTCTGGCAGCGTCCCTGCTCGGGTCTTCCGCATTCGACCATGGAGTGTCCCTGTCAGCTCCGTGGAGCCGAACAAACCAAGTGCCTGACCAGATCCTGGCTGGAACCCCCTGGACGAAAGCAAGGCCTTTTCCTCTTCCTGGCAGCCGGAGAAGACAGGGGAGTATGACAGATCCTGACCGCAACCCCCTGAATTCAACCAGCTAAGGCCTATAATTCACTGGTAGGGTAGACACAACCTAACTGGAACGAACCTCGTAGTACTGACGGTAAACACCTATAGGGTGCACATACAAGAAAACTGAAGAAAGAACACAAAAACATACACGAATAGAACACTCTTACAAATAAATGGATAAAATAAATAAATAAATATTTTATTTACAAAGGAAGGAAAGGTGATCAACTCAACACAGAACCGTGTAGCGAAAATGGAACCTCAATAAATCGAAGATACCTCGAAAGACATGTCCATTATGTTACAGTGCTGAGAAAAGAAGGACGACCATGGCGGTAAGGCTAAGCTGCATTGTGGGAGGTCAGGGTGCATCACAGGTGATCAAATCTTTTCAGCGAATGAATAATACACGCATAGGAAATTTGCATATGTAATGACTGTTTAGACCAATTAATTTACAGGCTACCGAAAGAGGGCATCTATGAACATTTTTCAAATGAAAAAAAAGTTCCTTTGTGATATCACATGTTACAAATGTTTGGTGTCAGACGGAACAGAAACTGAAACCTTCAAATTCTTTCAACTTACAGCACAATTAGTTCCTATTAAGACTTTTTGAAGGATTTTTCAAACAGTTTGTTCCTCAGTATTTCTGCACAGCTGTTACCTACCCTATCCAGCAATCCCATGCAAATCAGGACTATAAACACATGAGATCAAGTTGACTAGTGTAAACTCCAATTTCCATCGTAGTTTTATGAATATACATACCACTGAGTATTCAGGTGCTTCCACTGATGTATCTTCCCTTCTTATAGTAATCTTCATCTTGGCAACTTGCACAAAATTCAAATTCTTTCCAAAGACTGAAACTGTTTGTCCACCACTTAGCATAGAAAAGAGAAGGAAAAATGAATTATTTTCCAATCAAGTCACTATTGAACATATTATGTACCAGAACTAAAGTCACTTTTCAAGGCATTGTAAGCCATTCAAAGAAACTGCATTTTTGAAACTCAATCCACATATGAATCAATGACAGGGCAAGTTATTGCTTGAATAAAGACAAGGTAAATGTAAGGTTTACTGGCCAAATGAAATAAAATGAGCCACAGGCTGCAGAAAAATAAACAAAAACCAAGTTTTTTTGTTTTACAGAAAATGAAATTTTAGGTGACAAGTTATCTTCCTTATGCCTATTAAATGTATTTTAAACAAATAAGGTTTTTCTTTTTATTTCTACGGTTTATTTTTGGCTCCTTACTTCGATGGATATTCAGATTATAACTTGTGTTTGAAGATCCCTACAATATAGTGTATGCCAAAAGTGACGGATTCATACCCTGATGCTATTCTAAGGAATTCCATCAGAGATACAGACCTGAGTCTCCTGATCACCAACGTAAAACCCTTTGATATTTATCTCTGAAAGATGAGATATACTATAACAAAACGTTCTTCAGGGGTTGTATTTTGCTCACCAAAATGTAACTTAAATTGGTAGGCACTGTGTAATAACATTTACCTCAAAATGAACCGATACGATAAACTCTATCTGCATGATTTGACAGACTGGTCAACTTACTTAACCACTGCCTTGTTAGGTGTGAATGTACGCAATGTGGGATCACTGACATAGGTAAACTGTTGATGGCTGGACCTGATGATGCCATCAATTCTTACTTCAACTTTCCCGCTTTCAGTGACAGTGGAGGATGTAGTAGCACATATCAGTGTGGTCATATTGGCACTGTGGTGATGAAGATGGAAAATGAATTTACACAGAATGTTACTGCCTTTTCAAGGTGTAAGCAGCCAAGGTGGTTGAACATATTTTCCAGCACTAATTTCCACACTCTAAATTGATATCATAATTAAGGCAACAGTTGAACATGTCGTCAAGTACTGGTAGAAGTGATGATGCATTACTGTTGGGATTAAAATGTGCATGTATTTTGAAGACATTTCTTCTATTTCTTCAGTGGAATCCAACGTTTGGTATTATGTGCAACTGCATGGGACACATGCACTATCAAAGACTCATTATATATCTTAAGACAATGGCCATCACATCACAGGTATGCATGTTATAAGCTGGGAGGATAACAGTTTTTCGATGAATGATGCCTGGTAAAAGAAAAGAGTACATGAGTCAATATTTCTCAAACAACAAGTGGTGTGCATTGAGGATATGAAGTTATATTTCTTATAAATATTGAAAAGCCTAGTGTGGTACAAAAGAGATTTTCCCCAGCCAGATGTGACAGGACAACACATGATTTTGTAAAATGATTCATAGAGTCTAAGTCTGAGCGAGTCTGAGCCTAGCAGAGCACAAAAGGGTGACAGTCTGAGCTGAGCTGCAGGTACAGCAGAAATCGATAAGAGTCTGAAGTTCTTGAGGCCTCTGGGCTCAAACTCGAATTGTACTTCACTTGGTACATGTATGATCAAATTTGGACAGATGCCAACCTCTTAACATAACAAGCTCTTCCTAATACTGTAACACTGATGTCATTTCCAGCATTCATTCCACTACCAGTGATGGTAAGTATCGTCCCTCCAGACTGCCTGCCATACCTGGGCTCAATGTTTGTAATGACAGGATCCTGAGGAGAAAATGAAATGTGATAGCAGCTTGAAGTTTGATTAACCACTTCCTGCCGGGGATTCTGGATCCGGACACGTATGCTTTATATGTGTGGCCGGGGTCTCCGAACTTGGACAAAGGGAACAGGGCCTTGTTACAATTTTTAGAACTGTGCTGAGCTGTTAGATGATAACATTCTCCATATGTGAGTCTTGTAAGGCATACTTAATGACTTAATAATTCCAAAGGGCCATTTTCTACAAATAAGCTTTACAATATTCTCAAATTTGTCTCATCACCTACTATGTAGGCTATCCCTTTTTGTTTCAACTTTCTTCTATTGCAACTTCTTTTGTTACACTTTTTAAAAAATTTTACTCAACAGTTGAGGTTAGCTGTAATCTGAAGAAAAAAATTATTCACTAGCATTTACTCCAGTAAATAGATATAAGTTTTCTGGCTCTCGTTTTTCCTTTGACTAGACTAGATCATATAGTTTCTTGGTCAACTTGTTAAACAACTTTGTTACGCATAACCAATAATGCTCATTTTGATGGCCCTACTACATTTTTGCTGCTGTGGTTTATTAAAATGTTATTCTTATAAATTCTCCCAAGTTCAAAAAACAACTCAATTGTGCTATACTGCTCCTTGTTTCACTGCACATTCAAAGATCACTAATGTTAGCATGGGTAATGAATATGTCACAATAGCACATAAATATATTTTGGATGTTTAAATAATGCAGGAAAAGTTTAACCTACGTATATCTGCATGCGTATATATATTTCTTCTTTCTTTGAAAAAGCAAATGAGGGAAACCGTTCCATTTTAAAATCCATGAAAATGCTTACCACAAGCATACAGTACATAAACATCTTTCAGTTTTCCAGTCTAACATGAAAAAAACACTTAAGCTGTTATATCAATAAAATGCAATTTTTATTGAGTTGTCAAGTGCAGTGGGGAAAACAAATAAAGACAATCTTCTATTTTTCAGAAGCAGCTTACCACATATGTGAAGTTAATACGTTTCTCTGTAGAAACAGTTCCATTCACTTTATAAGACAGATTATCACCATAGAGCACCACCTTAGCAACAATAGGTCCAGTCACGGGTGAAGATACAACAGATGTGATGCACACAATCCTTAAACAAAGATACAGTTATGAGCATTATTATTTTCACAAGAAAAAAAATTCTAATTCTTTCGAATTACATAGCACTGCATATTTGTTTTACCACACACACACTTTATAGTAAAGTGTGGGTCAAGCCTTAAGAGTTATGAGGTAAATGTACAAATGTGTATCAAGGAAAGAGCAGTGTACAGTAAATGGAATGTCTGTTTTGTCACTGTACTATAGTGGTACAGTGTTTCAACAGTCCATTTTAACAGAGCTACTGGTATGACAATTTGTGGTGCCACAAAAATGGGAGTTAATGATTAAGGGTCAGTAGAACAATGTATGCAAATATAAAAGGAGAAATACGAAAGACGAGTTTGGAAAATAGAATGTTAATAAAGAACAAAACCTGGTGTTGCATTTGAGTCATCACAAGTCCTTTCACAAGTCCAGTCACAAGTCCCTTCACAAGGCCAGTCATAAGAACCAGGGTGAACAATGACAAAAGAATGCTTTTGTCACAGCTCATTTGAATAGCTGTGAATTGGCTCAAGAATGAATGACTTGTGATGGACTTACAGAGACTTGCAGGGACTTGTGATGGACTAACAGCCCGTTCCCACTTGATCCACCAATTCATGATCCACCTTTTGCCAAATTGCCGGATCAGATCACCCAGTTGGTAGATCAGATCTGGCAATTGTATGTAGTGGGAACGCTAACCGTTTTAAGGTGGATCAGGATCAGATTCACCTTTCTTGATCCTCCTCTGGAGCAGGATACAGATCCCCAATTGGTGGATCAGATCCAACAATTGGCGGATCACGATCAGATGGGAATGCAAAAGGTGGATCTGATCCGGCAATTTGACCTGTCAACATCCATCCGTGCACGAGTGGTGCGAAACTTTTGCGGTCTGATGAACAAAGAAATACGTTTTTTGGCACGTAGCTCATGTGAAATTTTTAATGTGCACAGCATGCACAATAAACAACCGCTGAACTACGGGCTAGCAAAATGTGTCACCACGCATGCCAATGCATGCATGCCACGATGCATGCCTTGCCCTTTCACAATTTTCATTGCGCATTTGTTCGTTTCTTAACCTTTTTCATTTGTGTAATTTCACTTGCTTTCCATCAAAAACTAATTCCTTGTTAGCGTATAGCCCACAGCATGTGATAAAGTATCAAAAACGGAAGCAAAGTTTGAAGAGACAATGTACTAGGCTGAACATTCGGTCTGATTCAAGGTCGTCACATCAGTAGAACTCCGCACCTAAAACCCGCAGGGTCACAGGCATGCCCCCCCAACACGCCACACTGCCACAGACCACGCGCTCAGCAAGCTAGCACATGCGCAATACTGAACTCTGTGACCTTTTGGGCTCGACATTTCCGTCAGAAAAGGTGGATCAAGTGCTAGTGGGAACGCGACTTGGGGTTTCGTTGCGGTAAGATAACGATCACACTAAAATGCTGGACCAAGATCCACCTTTTCCCAATTCAAGTAGGAATGCGCTGTTACAGAGACTTTCAGGGACTTGTGATGGACTTGAATACAACACTGACAAAACCATTTGCAGTTTCTAGATTAAGCAATCTGACTGGCATGTTGGCCATTCTGAACTGTACAAATGAGCTATGATTCCTTCAGTTACAAGTCTATTGTTCAAAGAGACGTAGCATAGATAGTGATTTCCAATAGCCAATGGAATGTATTAGGATTCTCATGCTGGATGTAATTTCAGCCGGAGTCAAAGCCTCCACTCATTTCTACTTGAAAAAGAGTAACTTGAAACTCAATTTCAGAGTTTCTTAGATTGCACAAGAAATCGTCTGGTTAAGAATGGCAAGTCTGCAGTTGATGTCTGAACCAGAATAAACAAGCAAATGGACAAACGCACGAACAAACGAAAGGACGAAATTAACAAATGCATGAAGAAACAAAAACGGAGTCCAGATTTTTTTGTAGATATTAGTTATTGAGATGCTAGCCTCAGTTTGACATGCTGAAGAATGTTGTGCAGGTTGAACACATCAACTGTTTGAAGTTGCTTTCATTATCCAACACATTTCTTTGAGGTCAAATCTCTTGCAACTCAATAGGTTGATTGTTTAGGTCACATCTTAATGTTAAAAATGAAACATGAAGAATAATTTCAGATTCTTGGTGAGTCATTGGCAGTCACTTGCAAAAGTTTAGGACCACCCATAGAAAATGCATTAACCTGAAGAAAAACCAAACTTAAACCAATCAATCATGGCAAATTATGTTTATTTTCAATGTGTAACCTTGGTACCTTGGTTGAGCATTTTTGACTACATTTCCATGATTTTAAATGTCAAGAGTCTAATATTCAGTGTTCCCTCCTTTATTTCTGATTACTCAGACTTGCTTTTTTTTTACCCAAGCTGCCTTACAGAAAACATGTCATACAAGACCTGCCTTTGCAAAAGGTTTCATTCAAATGGGTATAGCACTACACTGATGTTATGCACCACTGTAAAATCATGTTAAGTAATCACTCAATCACACAATGTTATGCAGGCCCAGTGACAGAAATACCAATGGTCTTAAGCTTTTGCAAATGACTGTAGTTAAGAAAGATTCATCAGTCCTTGAACTGAAATTACAGGGCAGTTGCCTCCTTGGTCTTTTGTTTTTTGCCTTAAGAAGTTTTATAAACCAGCTAAACTTCCTAAATAGTAGGATTCAAACCTGATGTTGCTCCTAGAAGAAGCAATTAATGTTTTACTTTTAAGTGGAAGAGCAATATTTATTTGGGAAAACTCATCCGATATTCTCAAAGCAACCTTGGTAAATGTGACCATATTGAATAGAAGCTTTTTGAAGCATGATTAGGTCGTGCCAAGTCCAGTCTGAGTCTTGTGTCACAACTGAAAGCGATGGATCTTCTGAAGAGTGGTAACCATTAGTAAATATGACAGATACTGTTAAAATAAGCAGACAACTTTTGCAGTTCGATTTTTTATCTCTCCAGAAATTTGAAACATGAGATGGCAGTGTTTTGGTTAGCAAACGATGCAGATGACTGACAGGATGTAAGAGATGCTGATGTTAGAAACCATTACCTGGAAATCTCACTCAGTTGCTGCATGACAGCGCATGGCTGCCCAGCTACATTAACTTCAGGGGGATGGCTGCCTGCTGCAGTAAGCCCTAAATTATCACCTGTTATTGTCACTCGTGTACCACCCTCTAATGGGCCAGCTAAGGGTACCACCTGCAAGAAATTATCTCCATTAAAGACTGCTATCACTGAAAACTCTGCCCATTTTACCAGGATCAGTCTTGTTTTAAATTCACCAGCTAATATAATGCTTTAGGTTTTCATGATATCAGGTTTAACTGTTTCGGCAACTCAGCTGAAACAGCTGTTGTTTTTCTTAAAGTGTCTTATTTGGCTTTTTTGCAAGTTGCAAAAAAGGCATTACTTCTGTTCCGTGTTTTTGTTTTGCTTTTTTGCATGTCGTCGTCGTCTTCTTCTTCCCCAAATCTTCTGACTCAAATCCCCTTTGTTTTGTACACATTTCTTCCATCACCCACTTTAGTCCCTCAGCATCATTGGATCTTCATCAAACTTACATCAATGAAGGACCCTTGTCCAAAGTTGTGCACAGAACAATGACATCATGATGACGTCATCAATGGATTTATTATTAATTTTTCAATATTTATTTCAACCCCATTGACTTTGTACACGTTTTCGAGGTACGATTTTGGGTACTTGGCGATATTCAGTTGTCATCAAAGTTACAGCTGGCAAAGACCCTTAGGCAAAATCATTGCCAAAGTCATGATAAGGTCACTTGACGATATTCAGTTGTCATCAAAGTTACAGCCGGCAAAGACCCTTATGCAAAATCATTGCCAAAGTCATGATGACGTCATTTCCTTATTTTGTATTTTTGAATATTTAATTTTTCCCCATAGGTTTTGTACAAATTTTTTCTACTGAACACCAGTGAACGAGTAGTCCTTCACTTGGGCTCAAAATGAGAACGAAAGAGAAATTGTGTGCTTTACGCTCTGTTATTCAGTTTGAAATATGCCTAAGAGTCCGAATATGAAGTAATATTTCATAAGTATTGTTGAGTTTAAGTGCACCTTACGTGACATGAACTTAAAAGAGCAGTGCTTCTACCAAGGAAGTTGATTTCTGAGCACATGTTGCTGCCATGCACCGTGGTCTAGTTCTACAAACGAGTTTATGGCCCATTGACTTTGTATGCATTTTTGAGCCAAAATTTGGTAACTTTGCGATGTTTGATTGTTGACAAAGTGATCGCCAACAAAGACCCTGATGCAAGATTTATTGAAAATGGATGACGTCATGATCACTTTGTCACCTTATTTTATATTGATTTTTGAATATTTTATTTTTAGGTTTTGTACACTTTTTTCAACAGGCACACTTCTAGACGCTGGTCAATCTAACTCATTTCATGTTTGTGCACACTCATACTCCAGCACGTAAAGAGGGTCCCAGAACATGTGCATCGTCACAACACCATCAGAGGTCACATGACATGAGATTAAAGGTGCTCTCTTTCAACCAATGTATTTTGTAAAGCACTTGTCCGATTGGGTTCAAACCTTGCATTTTTCTTGAAAGGGGACACCTTCGGACGAATAATGAATTGATGTGCTAATGACATGTAGAAAACATGTCATGTGACATTAAAGGTGCACTCTTCAAAGCACTATATCTCGTGAAGTACATATTTGATTAGTTTCAAACCTTGCGGATCTCTTGAAAAGAAGAGTTTTAGACAAACATTGACCTGATGTTGTAAGGACTTCATCATGTGACTAGCCACGTGATATTAAAAGTACATTCTTTACAGCCCTATATCTCGTGAACTACATGTCTGATTGGGCTGATATTTAGTAGATAGCTAGAATGGGAAGAGTTATAGACAAGGTGACATGACATAAAGGGTGCAAACTTTAATTCGTTGTATCTCCTAATGTCCGAAAGGTTTTGAATATTGATATATTAAAAAATTGTGAATATTGTTATAATGAGGTCACCAAAAATGGTGGGAGACGGTTGGAACTCTAGAATACATGTAGATGCTTGAGTAAGAAGTGAGAATCCAAATGTGGAACTATCCGAAATGAAGGAATGCCTGTTTCTTAAGAAAAAAAGAAAATGTGAAAAAGCCCTTTGCTCTGTTTTTAAGACAGACAAAAACTTCAGTTTTTAGCAAGAACCAGAACAGCTTTTGTTTTCGGTTAAAATTTTTTTCTTTTTTTTTTTGCTTTTTCGCATTTTGCGAAAAAGGCATTGTTTTTGTTCTGTGTTTTTGGGGGGCTTTTTTGCAATTTTGCGTTCTGTTTTTTTTTCTTCCTTCTTCTTTCTCTTCTGACCTAAAGCCCATGTGTTTTGTGCACATTTCTTCTGCCACTGACTTTGGTCCTTTTACAACTTTGGATCTTCATCAAACTTACATCATTGAAAGACCGCAGTTCAAAGATGTGCATAGGACAATGATGTCATGATGATGTCATCAAGTGATTTATTATTGATTTTTCAACATTTATTTCAGCCCATTGATTTTGTACACCTTTTACAGGCACTATTTTGGTAACTTAGCTATTATATATTTGATTGTCATGAAAGTTACACCAAGTATTCCCCATAAATCGAAGATCATACGTAAATAGTTATGTCATGATGTCATCAAGTGATTTATTATTAAATTTTGAATATTCCATTAGATTCGGTCGGGTAGAATATTATTCAAATCATATACTGAGGTAGTCACTGTCGACATTGTATTTTGTCCATTACAAATATAACGCTATTTTCATAACATTATGAAAATGTCAAATGTTATTAATTTTGCATGGATTATACTCTTTGCTTAAAAAATATGGCTGACATTTGATCTGCATGGGGACGTATTAAGTAGTGAACCCCATGCACGACGGGTGATGAAGTCAATGACAATACCTGGCCCTTAACTTACAGATCTCACATGGCATATGGCCAATTGAAGTTGAGAGTGGTTTTGGAGTGTTTATCATAGAGAACGACAATTTTCAAGTCACAGTTACAAAAAGTAAAATTCATTTTTTGCGCCAAAATGTCAAGGATAGTGCAACAGATGTCATTGACAGAGGTCCTGCACTCTCTTTCTGAAATTTTGTACACAGAAAATCTGAGATGTGCAGTCAATTATTGTTACGTTTAATATCAAAGAATTATTTTTTTAGAGTAGCAATGCATATTTATGATAATGCAAATAAGGGAGAGTTTGCAGATCCATGTCAACGGAAAATGCACTCTTCAAGGCCCTATACTTCCTGAAGTACATGTCCGATTGGGTTCACATTTTCCACATATCTTGAAAAGAGAGCACTTTAGAGGAATTTTGACCTTATGTGATGACAACGTCATCAGGAGAAAAGTTGTGTGACATTAAAGGCACACTCTTTATGGCCTATATCTCCTGAAGCATATGTCCGATCGGTTTTAAATCTTGCAGATAGCTTCAAAAGTGAGGGCTTTGGAGGAAAATTGACGTCATGTGATGATGACGTCATCAGGAGACAAATCATGTGATATTAAATGTGCAATCTTTAAGCCATATATCTCCTGAACTAGCTGTCCGATTGGGTTCAAATCTTGCAGATACCGGTATCTTGGAAAGGGAATGTTCTAGAGGAATATTGACCTTATGTGGTGATAACGTCATCAGGATACGAGTCACGCGACATTAAAGGTGCACCGTTTAAAGCCCAATATCTCCTAAAGTACATGTTCTATCTGGTTTAAACTTTGCAGATAACTTAAACGAGAGGTGTTATATACGAAAAATGACTTGATGTGATGATGCCGTAGTTCAAATATACAAAAGGATCCGAAAAAGCCGGTCTGTTGACAAACAGACAGATAAGCTTTAATTTTGGGGGGCTTTTTCGCAAACTGCAAAAAAGGCATTCTTTTTGTCAAGATTCTTTTTATTTTTCTTCTTCTTCTTCTTTTTCTTCTTGTGCTCATGCTTTTTTACTCTGTTTTTTTTCATGGCACTTTAGTCTCTTTGCAAGGGTCAATCTTCATCAAAGTTGCCTCAAGCAAAGACCCTATTGCAAAGATGTGCCGTGAAGCATGGCGTCATGATGACAACATCAACTGATACGTTATTGATTTTTAAATATTTATTACAACCCATTTACTTTGTACACGTTTTCAAGGCACTATTTTGGAACTTTAGTAATCGTAGATCATCGTCAAAGTTACAGCAAGCAATGACTATAAAACGAAGATAATACTAAATATTTACGTCATGATGACATCATCAAGTGATTTATTATTTAATATTGAATATCTAAATACTCTGTTAAATTTATAAAAATCCATATAAAATCAACCATGGACTCCCGCAACATTCTGTTTGCAGCAAGTGGCAGGATAAAATGTGTTCTTGAATTCATCTCATATGGGTCAAATCACGTGACCCTTCCTTCTGTTCGAAACCGGAAGTGGTCTATTTTTGAAAAATGGTAATAGGTATCAAGTTGTTTTCAACAATGTTAGTCTGTTGGGGTACAGTATTCTTCAAATTATCTACGGATGACATCACCTAATTATTGAGCGCCCTCTAGCGACAGGTTAAAAATTCCTAAAAATGACTTTCGAATAGATGTCTAAGGCAAAGTTTGTTCGAATCACCTGAAAATTAATGTAGATGATCATCCTTACCCAGTCAACACGAGTGTGAGGTTTGGGGCTGATGACGTCATCAGACTGGAAGTTACAATAAAAACTTCTTTTATTCTTCCAAATTTGGTAAAAAATCAACCGAAAGAGATATAAGCGTGAATTGTGCATGAGATGACATCTTAAACATTGGAGTCAGCTGAATGAAGTGCATAACTGATGTACCTTTTCATACACATGAAGCACCGCCAACAAAAACCCCCTCTAAATATAAATTGCCAACTCGAAAATCCAATTCGCATGCTGTGCATATGCTACTGTGTGTGTGTGGATGCACAATATCTGCCTGCCACATAGACGGCGCACAGTGCGTAGGGCACATACTCGGAACTTGGCAATATGCCGACCACGTGCTGCCGAGAGCAGATCGCATTGTATCGAACGCCAAAAGGGACAAATGTTTAAAAATCTAATCTGTGCCTTTTCAGCAGTAAGTATAATGTTTTGTATTATATATTGTATTGTACATGTCTTATTGGGTTGAAACCTTGCAA